AGACATGCTTGATCCTGCTTATGCCGCCAGAGCAGTAGCAGAGTTCAATATGACGCCAGCACGAGGCCCTTACACGTTGGCCATGAGTAATGCTGCCCTGTACATCTCACTTCCTAATGTGACCGAGGAGTACATGGAAATCATTGAGGAGATGCGCAAGACGGCTGATAGCGACTCAGCGGCTGCTCATTTGCCAGAGAACTCCGACCCAAGCCTTGTTGCTGGCTATAAACGTCAGCTTCACGTCCTTGCCGACTTTCTCGCAAACCCAGAAGCCCCCAGTGTAGAAGTGCCCTTTGCGACTGGGACGACTATGCGCCCCATCATTCTCCATCCATTGAGTCGCGGTACTGTCCATCTCAACTCAACCGACCTGTTAGCTCAGCCTATACTTGATTACCGCGCTGGCTCCAGTCCCATCGACTTCTCCATCCACATTGCGCATATCAAATGGCTTCGTAAGGTACTAGATACTCCGACTATGCGCAAGTACGGTGCGGTTGAAGCCACTCCTGGCCCAGATGTTCAGTCAGACGAAGACCTCAAATCTTACATCAAGGATTCCATGGTACTCTCGCATCTGCACCCATGCTGCACAGCTGCGATGATACCCAGAAATCTGGGAGGTGTAGTAGGGCCCGACCTAAGGGTGCACGGTGCGGCCGGATTGCGCGTTGTTGATATCAGTATTCTGCCTTTCCTCCCAAGTGCACATACAAGCTCTACAGCGTACGCTATTGGCGAGAAGGTAAGTGGGAATGTAATCGTAGCAAGATAAACGCTAATGGTGAATAGGCTGCGGACATTATCATAAACAGTCTATAGATCACCATCATCAATACCTAGTGCATACATAGTACAATGCGACTTTCTATTACATAACGAATGTATTCATGATGTCAAGAGACGTCGTTCGACTTTTACATCTGCGGACAGCTTCTGCAGTTCCTGACCTAACTCGTCCGCTGCGGCTTTCAGCTTCGCATCATCGATGGCTTCCAATGCATCCAGAATGAAGAGTACATTCGATGTGCCGTCGCTCAACGCGGTTCTCGGACATTGCCTCCAATTCCAACGTCTGCATGTCACACCACCATCGTCGCACCAGACGGCCTCTCCAGGACTCGGATGCTCAATGACGACTTCGCCGCCAGATTTCGTGTCGAACTTCTCGTCGCCTTTTGCACGTATCAGGAAAGGGCTTCCCTGGTATTTGTCGAGATCCTCGCCTCCAAGAGGGAGTTGGTGTTTTATGGAAATCGCGTTGTAGATATCTGTTAAGCGATTCACACGTGGTAGGCCTGCACCCACACGACGCAACAGGGCTTCGAGACTGTTCATGGTCTTCTTGGGCTTTGCACCGAAGGCTTTGTAGGCATCCTTCCACTGCGCGACATGCGCAATGTCGTTCACCGGCGTTTTTGCCAGTGCCTCTTTGGCTGATGCTTCTGCCGAGGAGAGGAAAGCTTCGCTTGCTGAGTCGGAAGGGCCTGGTGGTATGTTGGTGACCACCATGAGTAGGGCGCGATAATCAGGCCGGAGTTGGAAGATCTCTGGAGCGATGCGCGCGTTGGCAAGATAACTTGAAGGGTTTTGGATGTTCGTCATTTTGGGTGTAGTTGTATGTGAGCGACAAATATCAGCTAGTCGAGGCTTGAAGACAGGTGCGACAGTATGCAAGGAGCGTAGAAATGTACACATGCGGCCTCTTTGAAGCCATCTCGGTATTTAAACATTGTCCACGCTGTTTTGCTAAGCGCTCTAACTTTCCATGTTTGGAACCAGACTTCCATATTTGACCGCAGGGCGTGGAAGTGGAAGTCTCTGTTGACAACTTGACATGGACCAGTCTAGCCGCTTTCCGCTGCGGCTAGCGTGGTGCTAGTGAAGACCTGGCACCCACCATCGTGCATCGTCGCGTGCAATCAACGCGTCGCCCACATCGGCGTCATCGCCATCCAGCATGTCGTTTCTGGTCAATCCATTTTCTAGGTCATCTCAGGCTGGTAACGCGTGGTTTTGCGCTGGCGGAGTGACGTCGTACCCGGATCTCGACGACTCCACGCGTGTCGGCGAACAGCGCCCGTGCGGCGAAAAGTATGTGGCTGGATGCCGGGTGTTCCACGTGCCTCGCGACGATAGCTCGAAAGCCACCGAGGTAGCAATCGATGAGTGGAAGGATCCAGAAGTTGGTGGCGATGCAAAGGACCAAGTGATGGTATTCCAGTACAAAGGAAAATTTGTTGCGGTCAACCACGTACGTCGCGACATTGGCGCTGTGTGTACCGGGCTTATATTGACCACGACCCGCACAGGAATGCCCGCACTCTTCGTATCCACTCTCTAATGGTACACCCTTCGATATCGAAGACTTTGGTGTCGTACTCAGTTCAGGCATCCAGTGTCCAAAACACGACTGGTCATTCGATCTTCATACCGGTCGATCGGACCGCGGTAGCTACAGGCTCCAAGTGTGGGAAGTTCAACAAAGACCAGGCAATAGTGATCAAGAGGTGTGGGTCAGAAGAAAGCAGAGAATCGGATAACATAACACGATGCGGACCTACACCCGACGTCGCAAACGAACGCTTGAACTCATCAACGGAACAGTTTCGTATGAGCGCACTATCGTTTGCGCTGTGCTCTACAACTTGATTCCCGTCACTTCGAAGGTCTGCACCATGTTCTTCTCGAACTTCGACCAGAACTTTGTGCCGCTGATCGTGGTATCGAGATGCTGCACGTAACGATCGCCGCTTCCGATCTGGGTGCTCCACCTCGAGACAGTTGCACCGGATGAAGGACGCCCCGAGAATCCTGACAGCTCAAAGTTTATATACTGTGCAGCGTCCCAGTTCACTGCCACGATAACCAACAACGACTTGATCGCATCGTAGGCAGCGACAACGTTGTCTCGGCCACCATCGAGAATTCTCATACCCGGGCGCATGTGCCGGGCGAACTGCGCAAGCACGTAGTACTTTTGTGTTGATGTACCCAGCGTTTTCGCGTCATTGTCCGCGTCGATGAGACCCCAACCTCCCTGGTCGAGGACTTGCCAGTACTCCCAGGCCGTAGGCTTCAGCTGGCGAAGATCCTGGAAAAGGTACTTGGCGAGGTTCTCGCCAGAAGCCACGCCATCACCGTATTCGCTGTTCCAGAGAGATTTCCCGGCCTGTGTAGCCAGTGTGCGAACACCGGCGCGGTCGCCGCTTCCGTATTGGTAACCATGGACGTTTATCCGGTTGATCTTGCTGAGTGCGCTACTGCCAATTGTCTTCAACGTGGTGGCAGCTTGATCGTAGTACGACTCATCCGAGGCCGCGATCTTCGTTGAGAGCCCACGGTTTGCAAGTTGCGTGTCGAGATAACCGACGATCTTGGCTTGGGTGGACACATCAACGTGACATCCTTCTTGGGTGCCGTCAGCCTTCCACCAGTTCGCACTCGGCTCGTTGAAAGGGTCGACAGTTTCGAATTCGACTCCCCAGTTATCCTTGAAATGCTTTGCGACCGTCGCCATATAGACTGCATGCTGCTCCAAGTTCCACGATTGGATGTTTTCGCTTCCGTCCGCGGCTCCCGATGGATTGTGGTTCTTCGTCATCCTGAACAAGTCAATACCTCACACACGTTTTGTCCATGAGTTTTGCCTACCACCACATCGGTGCGTTTGAGAACAACTCTGTTCTGTCTGCTCCGCGTGCGATCGCTTTCTGGAGTGCTGCTCGCTGGTTGACATCAACCGTCCTGAAGTACAGACGGTGGTTAGTAAACAGCCTCGTGTCACACCGGGGAGGTAGTTCTCATACCAATTCCAGCTAGAAGAAGCAGGGTCGCTGCTCTTCCAGTCCAGCCAGTAGCCTTCCATCTGCCTCGACCTTTTTACGTTTGGAGACACCACCATCTTCTCCCCATCGATGGTGTTCCAACTACAGGCGCCAGCATTGTAGCGTACGATGTTGAAGCCAAGACCTGGAAGAGTCTCGCCGTTGAACTTGGTCTGCTTCAGCGTAAAGAAGATATCCGCAAGATCGTCTCTGTTGCCAAATTGCTGGGCCCACCATGCCAATGACGTTCCCCAGCCTTCCCAAGTACCCCAGTTCGATTTTGGGTCAATTGTGGTCGTAACATCGGCATCAACCGAGTAACTGCTGGCTAGCACCACGGCCGCTCTGATGAAGGTCGATGTACGCATTGTAGAGTGGTATTGGATGGAGCAGTTGATGTTCACTACATACTTTCATCGTCGCTCTCGTATTAAATATAGCAGTCAACTCAATCTCGGCGCCTCATTCAGGTAACGCGCCCGCACACACCATCTTTTCACTAACTTCCACTTGGCTCTTGGATAATGCTGGAAGCGGGGTAGTCTATACACGATGTAGTGGTACTACCTCGGCGCCCGACCGTTTCGTTGCGGCGAAGCCCTGGACGACGAGCCACTCACTACACCCACATTAAGACTAAAGCTCATCCGCGAATGAGGATGTTCAGCTAATCAAGGTTGCACCGGCGCTTGGTAGAGTTCCAACGAACCGGATTACCGCCGGAGTTACTCCGTCAACAAAACTTTCGGTCGCAGTGGCAGCGGAAGATTTCGGCGTAGAGTTCTTCCGCATCAACATATGTTTTGCCTCGCAATGACGGCAGTGGGACATATGCCGAAGCCATGCGTATGCATGTAACGATATTGGGTGTTGTATCCGCCATTAAGGTTCGGGTGTGGAGGCGGACGCTAAGGGGCTGGTCCCCACCATGTCACCCTTGCCACCGGATCACGAGTTGCGGAGTGGAGAATCTATCGGGTTGCGGATTAAGTGGCACCCGCAGTAAGTCAGATGATACAGTATTCTCACGGTCATAGTGTGTAAAACGGCAGGTCTGATATGCCTTGGTATAGTAGAGACGTCATGTAGAAGTGCTAAGTGATTATTGGGGATGTAAGTCCGCCTTGGATATTAATATTGCACACATACTACTGTATTATGCTAAGATGCTTAGAAGAGCTTTGCGGAGCCCAGCATTGCGCTGCTACCGTCGGTCGTGTTACCGGAAACTGTGCCGTTGGCATCGGCCTGGTTTAACCAAGCAGCCTTCAAAGACCAAACGCCAACACTGGCGGTTACTGTTTCGTTCAAGCCCGCCACCCTCAGCATCATCGTGTCGAGCGGTTGCGTAGGGAAGAAGACTGCGGTCGCACCAAGCTCGCCTTCGTTCAGGAAGACCTCAATAATGCTCCTGTCGATGATACCCGAGATCTTCCATGAGCCCTGCCTATCGTCGTAAAGACCGGTGGCAGTGAACTTGTCGTTGAAGTATGGGCTCTGGAAGGCCTCAGTCTTGCCACGGTCGAGCCAAACATCACCAGATGAGAGGAAGGTTCCACCTGAGATCGACTCGCCGGAAACCGAAGACTGGAAGGTAAAGCTAATAGATCCCGCGAGCGAAGGGCCGCCAGTGAGCCCCGTGACATTGACTTCAAAGTAAAGTGCGCCCGACTCGACGGTGGAGTAGTCTACGAATGCAGTGCCGTTACCGGTGATTTCACTGGAAGCGAGCTCCTCTTCCACGATCGACATGATGTTGGAGGGGTACGAGATCAAAGACAGACCCTGGCGGGGTAGATCTTTCAGGTAGTGGCCTCGGGGTACGGTCATGACGCTGCGGAAGCCATCGCCTACTTCCTCGCCAGCAGTGGGAACGACGTTGGTGTACTGCCAGTTGCTTGCCCAGTTGAGCGTAACCTGGTCTTCGTCGGTGGGGATACCATAGAAGAACTGACCGGCGTAGTTGTCCTTGGCGAAGTCCGTGAGGCGTGTTCGGGCGTCATCAGCTTCGAAATGCGTGCCGTTGAAGTTACCGACGAAGTACTCCGTGATGGATCCGCCGAGAGGAGCTCCTGGGTTGATGGAAATCAACATGACATACTTGGACTCGTCGCTAGTGGAGTTCTGCACACGCATCTCAACCATGTTCGGGCACTCGTACTGCAGACCGGTGATGCCGTAGCTGGAGAAGTTGCTGGTGGGAGTCCAGTCGATCAGGTTAGGGCTTGTGAAAATGCCGATCTTGAAGTCGATGGGGTAAGCCACGACCATGACCCAGCTCTCAGTAGGCTCGTACCAGATGACTTTCGGGTCACGGAATTGAGTGGGGTTGGTTCCACCGGGAACGATGACGGGGTTGTTCTCGTACTTAGTGAAAGAATATCCATTGTCGTGGGAGTAGGCAATGTGCTGAGTCTGGTTCTCGGGAACATTGATAGTGTAGATGGCGACTACACCGTTGGTTTGATTTGGGAAGAAGCCGCTGGTGTTGTTGTGATCGATGACGGCAGATCCGGAGAAAACGCCCTCGGTTGGACCACCGGGGAAGATGGCGATGGGCTGATTAGTCCATGTGTACAGGTCTTTGCTGGTCGCGTGGCCCCAGTGTTGGTTTCCTGCGATGTTCTCGGTCGGGTTATATTGGTAGTAGAGGTGGTAGACTCCGTCTTCGTCCACGTACAAGCCATTCGGATCGTTCATGAATCCAGCAGGCGGGCTGAAATGCACTTGAGGTCGAAGCGGCTCATCGTAATCGCCTGAAATCGGGACTCCAGTAGGTACATTGGGCTGTGAGTACGTCGATGTGCTTGAGGCTGGGGCTGACGAGTTTTGGGCATGTCCGAACGTGAGCAGGCCACCGATGGCTGCGAGGACAGAGAGATGGGAAGGCATGGTGAGATGATTTCCGGTCTGATGCTGATCATTTAGAGATATTCCGCCAGCTTTATGCTTCTCGAAGGACGGGATGCATCCGGGACTAGAGGGCAAATTTTCGCATCGCCTGTGATGACAAGACCAGATGTGGACGTGCCCCGCATGTTTTCCTCCATCTTACTCCGCTTGTCACCCCATGGGTACCAGCATTTTCGTATCCGTGTACTGTAGCCGGTGGGTGCATGATGAGGTTGAGCCGGCATCGAGGGAATTGGGCATATCGGAGCTTCCAAGTACGTACCTTCTCCGCAAAACCACTCAAAGGCTACGCCGCACCTAGCTAGATTCTGGCCCGGGGTAAACGTGCGTTCTCGCTTGCCCAGGTTTACTTTTAAGCGTTGGGTTAGGATTGATGGGACCAATGTGCAATTGCGTCAACGGACGTGCTAGCGCGGTACGAAATCTTCCCGAGAAACATTCCATGCTCCGATCCTATTTTGTCAGCAGCAGTAAATGAGGAGCGTCAGTGCGCCAAGACAAAATGTGTGGGAACAAGGCCACTAGAGCCCCAATTTCTTGTCCTAATGCTGGTGTTGTTGGAACTAATGTATTGGTATATGCCATGGCGACTCACTCGAACGAAGACCAAGCCCCAGTCTGAATCAAAGGCGCACTCTGTTCTTCAAAGCGCGAGCGCAAAATCCCAGACTTGTACTTTTCGTGTGCCGAAAGGCCCACCTTGCCTGATGAAAAGGCTCAAGACGTTGAATTTATCCAGCCTCTCTTCGTCCACCAACGGCTCAACAGCAGCGTTTGGTACCTCGGCCAACTTTTTCCAGTCATTGTATGCACCGGCCGCCGTCGCGGCCCAAATTTGAACGGTCATCTTTGGTTGATCTGGCAGGATCGCAAAAACGTTGTCGCCTGCGGCGGCGATCTTGCCTCGATAGGCAAGATATGGCGGCGTTGACAGACCAGGCGTCTTGATGGCTGTCTTAGAAAATCTGCCTTCTGGAGTACGGAGATAGTGGTAGAATTGCGCTGTGCCTGTCGAGTTGTCGCGCATGAGGGCATGGAATCGGCCTTTCTGGTCAGCGCACTGGGCTTCTTGGTTGATGATCTGGCTGTTTTGTGGGATCGAATACACCTTGATGCCAGCGGTCGATGGCGTAATCGGCTTTGCTACAGTTTGGCCGTTAGTCTGTTTCCAACTCTTGCCATCGTCCTCCGACAAGGCGAAGTAGAAGTCGTGGTTAGTCGAGGGAGTAGGTGTCTCCCTCACTGTCCATGAGACGAAGAGCTTTCCACCCTGGTTGCTAATGCCGTTAATGTATGCATTGTTGTCTTGACCTTGGAGGTATTTGCCGACCGCGCTCCACTGCCCAGATGTTGCAGAGTATCGATGTATGTACGAGTCACCAGCGCCAGACTGACCGATACGGAATTCCATCAGAAGATCGCCGTTGTCGATGCGTTCGAACCGAGGGTATGTGAGCGGCGTCCATGGTCCGGTTGAGCCAGGCAGACTGTGTTGGACCGCTCCAAAGGCGCTGGCTGTCCACTGTTCGGGGATTGTTTTAGCGATGCCTGTGTTACTCGCACGATAGTTGAGTGGTACGTCGTGATGATCGAAGCTCAGATGAATCTTGCCGTCCCCGCTGATGCCCATGCTGATAGTGTTGTGTTCATCGAGAGTGGTTTGCACATAATCTGTGAATGCAAAGTACTGCCAATCACCCAAAGAAGGGTTGATTCTACGCCGACCGAGGTTGACATGGTGTTTGCCGTATCCCGAAGCTGTCTTGTAGAATGCGACGTATTGATAGTCGCCAAAGGTGGTCAAGGCGTGTTGTTGGAAAGCAAGGCCATTGAGACGGACTGAACCCTCCACATCATTCGTGATGTTCCAGTTCTTGGTCGAAGTGATGGAGATCGCAGAAGAAAGCGAAGAAAGCGTGACGCAGCACGCGAGTAACGAAGAGAAAAGTCTCATGATTCTTGGCTGAGCTCTAAAAGGAAGGCTATGCTCCAATTAAATACATGCCGGCTAGCACACTGTGCGAGGCGGTACCTGGGTAATGAAGGGCGCGGATGAATTCTATCCTTAGTGTCCATTTCTGAACCTTGTGACCACTTCGTCTCCCCTGAATGCTTGCTGGTAGATGGTACCCAGACTTGGTCGCCTGTGGAAGGTAATTTCTGCAGGTTGCATGGACCTGCATCGGCATTTCGGGCTATCGTCCCATGATGCGGGGAAGCTGGGGAGGTGGCATGGTGTCACTCGGTGCCGGAACATGATTGAAGCGAAATACTCCTCAGAGATATAGCACCTGGTACAGGGAAAAAATGAACAAATGCCTTGCAGTCTGCTCGGTCCCAGAACGAGAATTGCGACTACTTCAAGGCAAAGTAGACTTCCGGATCAGGCATTCGTCGTTTTCCCTAAACGTGGTGACAGTCTTTCTTCAATACGATTGATGGGAAGCCTAAATCCAATTGGAGCCTCGGCGCCTTTTGTCGCAGCAGATGTGTTGGCTAAGCAGTCACCTGGTAGTCGGGTGCGCTGCACCGAGGATTGCAGTACCAGCTGTGTGTAATTAAGGTTTCAAAATGTATGAGATCAATCTGGCGAGGAAGAAGGTTGTCTTCTTCCTACGTCTGCAGGTGCCACCGACGTGTGGCATATTCCGCGACGCGTCCGATGGGATGCAAGCTCGTGTCGGAACCATTCCGAGCAGTCGGCGCCCTTCGCGTGTCACACCTCTCCAGCCACCTTCCAAGCCCTCATCACCAACGCGAACCCCATGAGAAGTACCACCGTGCTCCATCTCAAGAGCCGCAGAAATGCCGTTCTTATGCGATAACGGCGTGCTACACGCCTATCTCCGTGGAAAACGACACCAGAAACGGCAGGAGCAACTGCAGCCAAGGGCGATTCTCCTTGGCAAAGTACTCCAACCGGCGGAAAAGCGTCTTGACTGACGTAGCGCTATCGCCCAAAGATGGGGGAGAGCTATACAAAAAGTGATGGTAATATGCAAATCGGTGCTCTGCGCGCATTTGACAGCCTCAGCTGAGACCAGACGAAGATGCGTACAGCTTCAATTGCGTTCTTCGCAGCGTCTGCGCTTGCGCAGTCTCAATACGGCGAGAACCATGTCAATGTTAACCTTGACTCGCAGCTTGTGGAGCAGACAGCCTTCCCAGCGCCAGACGTGACCCTTCTGAGTCCCGCGTTCCTGCCAAACGCCTCGTTTGATCCGGGTTGGTCAGAGGGAACTGAAGGCGCAACATCGCAATACAAATTAGGTATGTAAAGGATGGAGGATGGACCCAATCATAGCTCGGGAAGCCTAACACTGTACAGAGGAATTCATCAGCAAGCTTGCAGCGAAGAATCCTTCATGGATGACCTACGACGTGACCGACTTCCTGAGCGAAGAAGGCAAGACGTTCCCGTACGCCTACCTCTCCACCTCCGCATCGAACGTATCTTCCGGGTATACCACCTCTGGTAAATTGCGAGTATGGATCCAAGGATCAGTTCACGGGAACGAACCCGCTGGCGACGAAGCCACTCTGGCTCTTCTCGGTGCCATGGATGCCGACCCGACATGGGCCGCCAGCTTCCTTGAGAAGATGGACATCATTGTGTTGCCGCGTTACAATCCAGACGGAAATGCCTACTTCCAGCGCACCTTGGCTACAAACTTCGACCCAAACCGCGACCACACCAAGCTTGCCCGACAGCAGACCCGCGACATCAAGCAATGGTTCAGCAGCTTCTCGCCACACATCGCTATTGACATGCATGTAAGCAAGACATCTTGTACGACCTTCACGTGAGGTGCTTGCTGACTTTGGGAACGAAAAGGAGTATGGCGCCGGAACAAGATACTCTGGCAATTACAGTAATGCAGCCGATGGCATGTACAGCGCAGCCAAGAACCTCAACATCCATCCCTCCATTCGCACACTCTCCGAAACAGTCTTTGCGCCTGCGATCAACGCGTCTCTACTCTCCCAAGGCCTGCGCGGGGAGCCATACATGACGGCAGCGCGGACGAATCCGATACCACGGCTCGACGAGGCTGGTACTGATGCAAAGATCGGACGCAACGCCATGGGACTGACGCAGTGCGTAACTTTCCTCTTCGAGACTCGTGGAATTGGAATTGCAAGCCAGGAGTTCAAACGCCGCACCCTTGCTGGTTTACAGATGATCCTTGGTGTGCTTGAGACTGCTCGAGACGAAGCTGCGGACGTAAAGAAGACAATCGAGGGTGCTATTGCAGAGGTCGTCGAGAGCGAAGAGGAGATCGTCATCACAGACTTCACAACTTACTCGAACCGCACATATACTATGGTTGACCGTCGGACGGGCGAGGTTGTTCAACTTCCTGTTGAATTCGCCAGCACCACACCCGCAACTGCCAATATGACCCGCGCTCGGCCCGAAGGGTACATAATCCCCCGCGCGTGGGCTGACCTTGCCGAACGTCTTATGATGTCTGGACTGGAGGTCGAAACCATGCCCGAGGTTTTCCATGGAGAGGTCGAAGCATACAACATTACGTCCTCTAGCCTCGGCTCGTCTTACTACGAAGGCGCCATCTTGAATACCGTTACGACGGAGACACTTATTCAGGATGTTACGCTGCCTGCTGGCAGCTTCTTTGTAAGCAGTGCGCAAAAGAATGCGGGGCTAGCATTTGTCGCGCTAGAACCTGAAAACATCGATTCATATGTCTCCTTTGGCATTGTACCTATGGAGGTCGGCGACGTCTATCCGGTCTTCCGTCAGATGTAAAAGAAAAGTAATCTTGTTCTTACCCGATATTATTACTAGCCAGACCGACGGTCCAAAAGATCTATTGGGATACCAATCATCCATGCACCTCATTTAAGATAAAAAGTCTGAACACCCTCTAATATACGTTAACGCCAGGTCGCCTACATCACATGTTTGTATCTTGATGTAGGCTGCAGGCCTGCTCATGATCTCTCACCTTTTTACG